TAACTTAAAGATAAGTAAATTTAAAAAAAAAAAACACATACATACCTATATACACTATTTACAATAAGGCGAGGGAACTCGGAGGCAGGCTTGTCCCTCCAACTGTGGAGGGAAAAGCAGGACTCCAGAAGATTCCAGCGCTACTTTCTCAACTGCTTCACTGATACTAAAGTCAGTGGAGATTGATCGAGAGCGCTTTACCCACATACATTCATATCTTTAGTGGAGAATCTGACCATTACCAGAACTCCAATATATACAAACTTCAGAAGGTCGCGGGGCCACTGCCCTTTTATCCTTCTTGGAAAATTATATGGATGTGTGGTGCTTGATAGGGATTGTGCAAGAGGATTTGGATAGGTTCTGGTGAAATTTGGAGAATTTTTCTGGGAGAAATAGGATGTTGAGGTCATTGTGTAGGGTTCTTTTGGTTACACCGAAAGGAGCGTCGACTATTTTTCGGTGAACTTTAGACTGAAAGGATTGGATGCGTTTGATATTAGAAAATGTTACTGTCCCCAATAGTTCTAGTCCGTAAGTCCAAATAGGTTTCAGTACAGTCTTGTAGATAAGTAATTTGTTTTCAATAGAGTTTAGATTTTCTATTTAGTAGTCTATATAGTTGGCCGTAACGTCAGTTAACGTCGGTTTCCATGTTAATCGTCTGTCTAGAAGAAAGCCATGATACCGGAATTATTTAAAATTATAAAGTTTATTTTTAGCATGATATTAAAATGTATGACAACAGAAGTATTCCGCATAAAAGTTTGCATTTCATTACTCAAAATAATGTTGGTGAACCATTTCATAGAATGTGTTATTTAATAATATTTGACTATAATTAGCTACTAGTATTTTCTTTAATTATTGTAAATTCCAATACATTTACGATTATTATAAGAACGAAATAATAAGCGAACAGAGAATTTCCATCTTGGAAGGGTATCAATAAGTAAAAGTTTAGCTTAAAATAATGATTCCATTTTTTTTATTTATTAAAGAGATGCTAATGAATATTAACCCTTAATTAAAACTTCCCCAAACTGGTGATTATTATTCATCGCGTAGTATTGCGTAGTTAACTGCCTATATTCCCTCTTGTAAAATATTTTTCCTTCGCGCTGCTCTCAAGGGGACATGAGCGATTAGTGTTCATTTGTATCTAAAGTTATAAAATAAAGTCAGAGAAAGAACTCTATTACAGAACAACTATATCATTTAAATATAAGAAACATCGTAGTTGAGGGAGAATCAAATTATTGGTTAAAAAAACGGGTACAACCGATAAAAAAATGGAACTCTATTTTAAGAAAAATCTACCAAGTAAATGATAAACGCGAAAATGATAATGCAGTATTTTACAAATTTTATTCAAATGAAAAGATAAAAATTAAATGTAAAAAAAAATCAAGGGTCGCATAAAATGAGAATTAAAACAAAATATAAGGAGCATATCAGGTTAGTCTCTAATTAAAGCTTCATCAGTGTTCACTCGTAAAATGTTAATAAATAATAAGTTTATTTTTAACATGAAATAATTAAATAAATAACAAAAGAATTCTACACAATAATTTTAAATGCATTAATCAAAATAACGTTGGTGAGACAACGTAGTTAATCAAATCACTATCTAATTTAATAACTTTTGTCAGTGATTGCTTTCTAATAATTTCTCTAATTATGGCGATTTCCAAGAAAATTTTATATTGTTTTCGGTATTTAATAAGCTTCGAACGCAAGCGTGTGATAATTTCACAGTCCATATAAGTGTATTATAGGTTAATTACGTTTTAAATTAGTTCATGGAATGAATATTTTCGGAATATTAACTAGAAACTCTGTATATTTCGTCAGATCAGTTGAATCATTTTCATAATCCAATTAAACTGATGTGTTAATATCGATTTGTCGTGCACACAATATTATTACAGTCGTTATTATCTTTTCTTCTTTTGGAATGGCTCCATGAATTGACCGACAATACATTAATATTAGATATCACTTCACCAGCAATAAACGAATATATGACAATCGATCGCAAAGCGGCAATATATTTTTTATTGTCTTGTTTATCATTTTATTTTATCTATAAGCTTTGCTAATTATGAGTAATAAAACTTTTAGGGGCAATTATGTGTATCTTTTAGAGCCAGATAACGTTTTGATAAATTAATTGAGAACTGGAAGTGATTGTCTAAACTGTAATGCGTATATTATTGCTCAAAATGGGCCCTTATACAGTCAATATTATTGAGCCAATATTATTGAAGCAATATAATTGAAGGCATTATATTAAAGGAGTACCTCATAGGAGTCAATTATATTGAGTCAATATTATATCAGTTAAAATCTTGCTTCAACTAAAGAAGGAGGTTTCCAAAGAGGTAATGGTAATGTTTCTTTCTTGTGGAGATGAATTTCCATTTGATTGGGATGAATGTTGCTCTAGATGGTAAAATCCAGAACATAAATTAGAAAATTGACGATGGAGCACATTATTATAATCATTAGAATTAAGCCTTGCATCCACAAGAGTATTGGAATTGCAGTTCTGAAGATGGGAATAAAAGGTCCCGAAACGTCAACTAGACTGTAACATGTAATGTTAAAAAATATACTCGTTTGTTAATAATTGGAAGTTATTATTGCCAAGCAACTTAATAAATTGACAACTTCCCAGGAAAAAAGAAAAAAGATCATTTAATACTATTTGGATGATTGGTACAAAAAAATAAATAAAAATAAAAAATAAAATAAAATAAATAGAGAAATGGATTGATAGAATAAAATAAATAAATAAGGATAATAATAGACATTTATAGGTAATAAGATGTATAAAAAATGTATAAATAAATAAACTTTAGAAAATAGCAGTAGAATCAATAAATGAATTGAGATTAATAAACAAATGAATTTAAAATGAAATGAAATCAAGTGAGAAAATAAATAAATAAATAAAAATATAATAATAATAATAATAATTAATAAATAATAATAAGAGAAAATATAATAAAAATAAATAGATACAAAAAAGTTAATAAATAAAAAAAAAGCCTGTCAAATGTGTTTTAAGTCTTTCACTATCCAGGAACTTGATGACTTTGGTAACAATTTCTTCTTGATTTCCCAGGGATGCTGATATATTCTGGGGTATTCCAAAATCTTTTAATCTTGAGGTGTAAAAAGGGCATTCTTCCAAAATATGTTTTATAGTTAGTGATTGGTTACACTTTTGACATCGGGGGATAGAATCTTTTGTTATGAGGTGGAGGTGAGTCAGTCTAGTATGTCCGATCCTCAGCCGCGTGAGGAAGACCTCTTATCTACGACTGCTGCGTCTGTAGCTGGTCCACAGTTGCACCTCTTTCTTTATTGTTTTTAATTTGCTAGGTGTGCTGTTGTCCCACCGTCTTTGCCATTCTTGGAATATGGTTTCTCTCAGAGGTCGTGCAAGTTCAGATGGTGTCAAAAAAACTTTACCGCGGCCTGGAAGAGTAAGAGCTTCCTTTGCTGCTCTATCAGCCATTTCATTTCCTTTAATTCCTATATGGCCAGGCGACCAGATAAAATGTGCCGTTGTTCCAACTCCATGAAGCATTTTTATAAGACTTAGAATGCAGTGTATCCCTGGATGGTCTGGATACATGTTATTCATAGCTTTCAGAGTACTTAGGGAATCCGATACAACAACCACATTTGCAACTGGCTTCTTCATGACGTATCGGAGACTCATTGGTACGGCGTTAATCTCTGCTGTGTAAACACTACAAAGATGGTGTAATTATTTATTTGTGGATATCCTTCAGGGTGAGGATTCTGATCTCAATCCTTCGTATACCTGCATCTACCTCTTTCCTATTCTTTTGAACATAATTTAGCTCTAACACTAACAGCAGTTGGTATCAGAATCATATCAAACATTATCAGAAATAGGTTAATAATAAAAAATTCAATTGAAGAATAAAAAATTAATGACGCTATATGTACCAAAAAATTATTAGAATATATCAAAAAACGATGTAAATGTTACAGTATAATGTAAAATTAATGTAAGACAATTAATGAATTATAAAATTAAAGTAATGTAAGACAATAAATAAATTATAAAATTAAGATAGTTTAAAAAAATAAAAATAAAATATTTAACTGTTTATTGAAATATGAACTAACATCATGTTGAAAAAAAAAAGTATGATCCAGTTATAAAAAAAAAGGCATATTTAATGTGAAAAGTGTAAAAAGACGGGAGCAATTCAGTGAATATATCCATACAGAATTAGCTAGATCTTCAGTGCCCCATGCACACAGGACCTGAACTTGATTCAGGCTCCACGCCACTAAAAGGTTAAATGATCATGTGGAGTTTGCTGGAACAAAAGGACATCTCCTTTCCACTTTTCTTAGCCAAGTCCCACTGAAAATTTATTTTTACGTCATTGCTATATGAATCTTCGGTTTTGGTTAAACCAGAGATTTTTTAATACAAAACTCCTATAATTAACCATAAAATGTATACTATTTAGTTATAAGCAAATAGTATTTTCTTTTTTTAAATAACTTTTTATCCTCGTTATCTCGGGAATATTTTAAAAATGAAGACCTAACAGGCTTTAAAGAGAAGAGTTAATCAAGTTTCATCAAAACCATTAGTCGTTTTGGGGCTACAATCAAGAGAAAAACACATTTCTTTTTTCAATTGTACATTTACTATTGCGTTCAGGGTGCGCATTTGATATACAGCCATTGTAGATCAAACTATATATATATAAAAAAAAAAAAAAATTGGTCCACCCTTTTGTGAGATAATTGTGGCACAAATTCTGAGGCAGATCTATGTGGCTAAAAATCCAGTATACGGATAAACAGCACTCTAAAACCCAAAGATCCATTCAATATTGAATAACAAAAATTTGGACCAATTACAATGCTTTTCTTGCGTATTAGCGGTAGTAAAATAAAAAACAAACAAGGAGTTTTAAATAAAAATAACCACATTTTTGGTTATATAATAATTTATTTTGTACACAAAATGAAAAACATGGAGTAATAAAATAACTTCTATTAACCTAACAATATACAAATAAATAGGAACATTAATTACAAAATTCATAACTTTTTTATACAAAATGTATAAATCTGATCATGACTTGAAACTTCAAATAAAGAAGTTCTTCAAAATTACAGAGATCAGGGTTACATATTGTCGACATAAACATATAAACATATAAATCTTAGCCTAACTATAAAAATTAGAGTTAGATGTCTTTAATAAATAAATTTACATTTTTACAGGTACAGATTATAAACATATTCAAAATGACACTTCAAACAGATTCCTGTTTCCAGTATTTCAAATTCATCCTTCTGATGAGAGTATCGTCATCACACATGACTAGCTGATTCCTGTGAAAATATCACAACTATTATAGCTAACTATCATAACAAATAAATAAAAATAAATATTTTGAAAGATTCATATTCACAAGGTATATTTCTGTAAGCATTTATCTAATTTATTAATATCTACAAAACACCAAACTAATGAATTAGGACCAGCACACTTTGATAGCATATAGTTATTAATCATATTAATCATGATAATGAAATAAGATAATACTGTACAAGTGTTACTCCACTTTAATAAATGGGCCAAGATCTCATAATCATGCTGTAAATGGGATTTAAAGAATGGCTGAAGATTGAAGTGTTCATAGTATAATTTCCCTTTATTTAGATTTAAATTGATTGTGATTTATGACTTCCGCAAACTTCCACGGGTCCTTATTAGTTAAAATAAGGTCTTTATTAGCTTTAATTACATCTCTGTTTTCGACTTCTTCTGGCTTAACAGGTATAAACATCATCGAGTTGAGGTTTACCATCCAATTCGGTCAGCTTCGTCTACTTTCAGATACACTCAGTCATTTTCGGAATGACATTTATAAAGTATTCATGAATGAGATCTTGGCTCACTCATTAAAGTGGACACTTGTACAGTAGTACCTGGAAATCATTTTTAAAATTATCATTCAACCTAGTGTCAGATCTATCAGCAGTTCAAGTTAGTGTTCAACAAGAAAGTAGCTAAGAAAAACAATGAATGTTGGCTTACCCTAAATTAGGTTTAGTAAAAACGCTTGGTTGCATTTTCTTTACTGAGGTGTTATCACAAAATAATCGAGCCAAAGACACCTTACGAATTTCACTCAGCTGGTCTGCAAAATTATATAAATACATTAACAATAACCTCAAAAACATTTTGAATATTAACAATTGTATACACATTAATTATCAAAACATTTCTAAATACATTTATTTTTTCTATATTCTTTAAAATACTTTCAACAGTAATTAAAAAAAAAAAAATCTTACTTAGCGTAAAAGGATATGGCTGATCTTTGTTGTCATAAAAATATCTATCCCCGATCCTTGTTGTGGCCATCTGTTGCGCAATTATGGAAGAGAAAACAGGACCCAAGAGTGACCCCTTGTTAGGGATCTCTGCCAGTCCTCCCACAATAAGGTCAATGTTACTAACTTTTTGATAAATTTTCTTCAAATCTTGTAAAATCTAGAAAAATAAATGAATTTTAAATTCACTTCATGATTTGGTAAATATATACCCTAAAAGAGCCTCTTTGAACACAAGATAATTCATAGATTCTAATCAATATAATTTACAAAAATTACGTACAACAAAAAAATTAAAAGTGATCAAAACAACAAATAATGTTGTTCATACTAGTTCAATGTTTGTACTGACATTATAGTACAAACCTATAAATCTATAATTCCAGAAAAATTAAATGAAGTCCTTCATTTCATTCATTTAAATGCAATTTAAGGCAAGAAAAATATTCTCTTTATTTTAATAACCTGCTTGTTAAAGCAAAACTGATGGTAATCTACCAAAATTGTGTCTCTCAGAACATGGGTCAATGATACCGATATAATTTAAAAGATTTGTTAATGTATCAACTGCTTGTTAAATTTACAACAATTTACTTAGTGTGATTTAATCAAACCATTGTAACTAAATAAATAGAAGCAGTGATATTAAAATTGACAAATCTTAAGAATTAAGATTTTAATTTTAACCAAAAAATTCTTAACTGATTATTTTAGTGAAATGTATAGACGTGATTTGTAACCACAAACCTATTATGGCTTAATCAACATAGGATAAATATCATTGAAGTCTTGACAGATAAAATTTAATTTCTTAAGAAGAAAATGGTACTAATTGGAGTATATGATATCAAACAAAAAATATAAATAAACTAAATACATACACAAAATGAAAAAGAAATTAATATGAAGCATAACTGAAGACGGCGAAAATTTAATGAAACGATAGTAGAAAGAAGTCTTCTTTTAACACCTCTTCTGAATCCTTAATAAGGATTCTTATCAAAAGTATGTCATAAAAATGTCAACCAATAATATAAATAAAAATGATCTGTGAAACCTTTTAAAAAATAATTATTTATCTTCTTATTTTTCTTTTTCTAGGAAGCTTCGGTTTATATATTTTTCTAAGATTAAGGCAAATAAACTTCCATTTTTCTTTAGTCTTTTTTAATAACATCTATTAGATCTTACGTTTCGGGACAATTTTCCCATCTTCAGAGAATCCTTTATGTTTACTTGACTTTGTAATGTGGCACCAATTGTCAAAAATTACAATAATTGTCATATCTATTTAAATACAATACTTTTTGGTGTTACACATTCATTTTCTGTCCATCACACCAACCAACATCTGGCTGGCTACCTACCCGAAGCGTAAAGAAAAATGGAAGTTTATTTGCCTTAACCTTAGAAAAATAATTATTTATTTATTAACACCACACATTAGATGTCAGATCTTTAAGATCTTTATTATTCAAATATATTATTAAAAATAGACAAACATTTATTTACTAACCTCTTGAGGTATGGAACTGGTTAAATCATCAAAGCTTTCATATTTCAGTCCAAACAATTTTCGGAAAGCAACAAAAGGTGGCAGACCATGATCTCTTCCTCTTTGTATGTCAAGACTGAGAGCATCTAAACCTGTCTCATTTCCAATGCTGTATAAAAATTCAGTAACCTGAAAAAAAAATTGTAAGATAATTAGATTATCATTCATAAAAAGGTTTTCATCAGATAGTAATAATATACAATCTATAATTAATACTGCATATCAGCTATGAGCAGGATTTATTTTTATAAGAGGAGTGGGGGAGGGGGCAAAATATATAAACATATGAATATACAAATTCAGTCCAAAAACTTTATGGATATATATAACGATAATCACTATAGAAGAAAAATCAAGAAACTAACTATATGAAATGATATTGGAGTGATTCTCTCCCCATAGGTCCACCAGTGATTATGAGTCATAGTTATTTTAAATATGATAAAGTATGAATGGTTAAAAGTTATTTAAAGAGCATAATATCAAGAGTTAGGAAATAGTGGATTAAATTATTTGAATATTAACATTATACGTACAGCATGTGGCAGGGAGAGATCCTTGGCTTGACAATTTTGCGTAGATAGCATTCTCACTAATGAATCCATAACGTTAACATCATTAAATAAGCTTGGTTTGATAAGACTAAAGCGTAGGGTCATATTACTTGATGGCTTCCTTTCTTCATCATACAAGCTGTAAAAATAAATGATAAAGTTAAATAAAAATATAATATATCCATTTCCAATCAGTATATAACGTGCTTCTAGATTTTATTTCATTATATGATTAGTATTTATCAAACAAGCGAAATTTTACTAATTTTATGTATTTTAACACTTTTATAAAGCTTAGTAAATATTGATTTGTCATAATGTTGATTATGCCAAGGTAGGCTATCCTTATTGTTGGTGACATTATTCATTATATTGGTTGGTTTGACCTTTGACCTTTTTATAGTGGTTTATTTGCCTATTGGTCATAAATAAATTAATCAAATACTAATTTTCGATAAATTTATTTATGACCAATAGGCAAAGGAACCACTATAATTAAAACATTAATTTTTTTTATAAACATCATCAATTCAGTTCACTTCTGGAAAATGTTTAATATTTTATCATGCTGTCAAAGAGAACTAGAGATGGAAAAATCATTTAAAAAACAACTTTATCTGTGGTATATTAATCAGAAAAAAGATGATCTTAATCTTATTTTCACACTGTATTATTAAGGTCTTGGAATTTTTTTCTCTATATTTTAGTAATAGTTATTGATGTAGGAGGATAAGTTACATAATAGAGATTGTAATATTTTTTCAGTTAGCTTTCTCTTTTATAAGACTAATTTTTTATATTTACACAATTCTTAGATGTTCATTATGGTTAATTAAGATTGGTATAAGTTAATTGTTATCAAATATATATTCTTTTAATTGTAGCTTATCGTTGCATGTGAAAAGAATGCTTGATATCCAAACTCTGAAGGAACCATTCAGTTCACTGATAATGACTTGTTAGAAATCCCAAAAAGCGAATGAAATAACGAAGGCTGATGCAAGAAGCAATTTTTGGTATAACAACTGGTCAGTGGTTGCTCAATATAATTATAAATTATGACTGATGATACAGTAGGTCCTGAATTTTTTCCTTTTCCTAAGGCTTACAGTGCCATAAAGAAGATCCTTTCATCAGTTATTTGTCTATTCCATTGTGTTACTATATAAAACTCCTCCAACTTATACAATTTCTGTAAATTTTAATGGCTCTCTATACTAAGAAATCTGCTGTTCATTAGTTTCTCTTAGATTATTCAATTATGGCAGAACTTGAAGATACTAATAGTGTTTGTAAACCATTAATTAAATAGTTAAAATAAAAATAAAACAAGACATTTGTGGGTTCGAAATTGAGTTAGAGTAATAGGTAATGTCAACAGTATTTAAATGGAGTTATCCTTTTTTTAGTCTTTGCTGAAAGAAGCGATCAACAATTAAAAAAAACTAGAAAGTGTATATAAATTCCAATAGAATAAAAACTATATACCATTTTTTAAATTCTTAACAACTGGTGATTCATTTGCCAGTAGGCTGTAAAATATATTCAGGATAACCAACAAGATTGTAAGACATTTATTCCTGAGGTTCTAAATATGGTGTATAATAATTTATTGAATTGCATAAAGGTAAGTGTAATACAATACTGTTGTTAAGTGCAAAAATTATAAGAACGGTGTTTGTTTTCTTAATTTAACTAATTGTTTGATTTTTTAATTTTGGTTTTAATTTTTTTGTAATTTAACCAATTGTTTTTTATGTTAGCCGAGTTAGTAAAATAATAAAATCCAATCGGATATTTCTTGTAATACTTTGATCATTTTACCTTGTATATAAAATTCATTCCCTACAAACATTCTATATCAGGATACAACGCAATAAACATAATCACCAGTACACTTATACCAATTTATTTTCACACAATATGATTGAGTGATGCTCAATCCAGTCAAATTATCAGAAGTTATCGAGACTCATGAATTCGAAGGCAGGCTAATAATAACAATATAATAAACACAATTCTACCTGAACACTGATTTATCAGTAACTAGTTTTCGTTTCCCTTATTTTAAATTCTCTATAATCACTACTAATAACAATTTATCAAGTGAAATAAAATACCAAAGTAAATAAAATTCATCGCATAATAATTACCTAAGCTTTTCATCAACCATTGACACAATAAATCTCATGGCTGCGTTGGCAAAACTGTTATAAACTGAGGGGGGTACATTTTTATTATAAACATCACTATATCCTTGCTTATTAAAATGAAGTCCCCTCCTTGAAGTCTCTTTATCACCTAAAAAATTTATGTAGTATGAGAACCTTACTCAATATGAATTAATTCTACAAATTTAAAAAACATATCATTAAGTTGCACAACAATCAAATTTAACTTATCAACAGCTCAAATAGAAAAAATATATATAATTTAAAAAATATATCTAAAAACAGATTGAAAATAAGTTATTTTAAAGAATTGTTTTCATACTTCAAACAATAGAAAATATTTGTAAACATGTGGCATAACAAATAAATAAGAAAGTATTAATAAACACTCACCTAAAACAACGGGCAACCATTCATTATAGGTGATATGCTGAATTTCGGCGATCACAATTCTTCTGGCCTCCTGATAAAGTTTTTCATCATTCCAATTAGGATTAATATGAGCAAGTTCAGAAGCAATTCTGTTGTGCTCACGCACAAGTACTAAGTGGAGAACAGCACTCATTACATCAATGTTCAATCGCATTTCACCTTAAATAAAAAAAAATTGATAAGATTAATTTTAATCAAAAAATTAAATTAAAAAAATAGTATTCATATACACCAATAAAACTTTGATACTTACCAAAAATAAGAGGAGTTGCTGAAGAAAATAATGATGGTAATATATCATGCCCATTCACAGAAGACAATTTTATTTGCCCACCTTTTCCTGTTCTAAGTGTCTTCGCATCTTCTTTGGTGCTTCCATACAAACTGGAACCATCCAAAAGATGCGAAACTGCATTCATTTGTTGGGCTGGGCCAAACCTAGAAATAAATGCAATAACATTATTACAATGGTACCAGTGAAAATAATAATAACTATTGAAATCAACTCTAATGATAATGAAGAAGTGGGTTTGAGAATGATGGCCAATAGTGTTAAGACATTACCAGAGCAATCTCAATCTAGCAGCGCCAGTTTAAAACCAGCCTAGCCATGTTGAAATTTATTTTATGATAAACCCACAGAATGAAAATTGATCTTTCTACTCTTGTTATAATAGGTAGGTTAGGTGGACGTTAATTTGGTAAGCCCAGAAGAAACTATAATGCTTTTGAATGATTAATTCATTCCCCTACAATGGCTCAGGGTTAATACTTTATTGAAACACTCGTCTAAAACCTGTTAAATAATATTTATTTAATATTATAGGTATGCAATATGATAGGTAGTACAAATTATTTGATTGATTGTTTAGGAATCTTTAATCTTCCAAGGGGGGAAAGGAAAGGTGGGGAGGAGCAGAAAAATAAAGTAATCTCCTAATCAGAGCGATGGCATTCAAAACTGGCTGCTATTGCCAGCATCGTTTTCTCATACCATTTTTACTTCCACATACTTATATATAAAATATATAGTAAAGGGAAGTATAGCAATCATGAAAAGATTTCAATAGAAATACACGTTATGAGGTCCCTTGAGTCCAAATAACCAAGTTTCACAAAATGGTCTATGTGTGTTAACAGTCTAGCTCAAAATCGAAAAGTCGTACGAAAAAGGAATTGCGTATTTAAAGTTTTTATTTGCCTGAGATGATATAGCAACTTTTTCGTCAAAATTGGCTCACCAGAAGTGCCACTTTATATAATAAATTTAACATATTTTTACGATTTTCTCGAAAACATCTCTAAGGATTTGGATTAAACTTGGCGTATCATTGCAGAATTAAGTGGTCTTTAATATCATTGAGGTCTTATCCCCATTGATGTCACTTTACAGGGCTTAAATGGCCAATGTTCATATGCGTCGTCCCTTAAAGTACCTTTAATATGATTTATTTTAAATAATTAACCATTCCACATTGATCTGTTATATAAAAAATAGTTAAATATAAAATATGAAAGAATTTGATAATTATCTAAATAAGAAATCGTAATGGAGAATAGTTCAACCAATCTTCTCTTCATTTTTTTTCTCTAGTTTCAAAAATTACAGATTTGTTTTTGATAAATGTTTAGTTTTCTCATTTCACTTTGGTTGATAAATTTTTACACATTTATTTGACAAAAGATTTTGTCGCTTCCTCTTACGAGTCATAGTCACAACCAAAATATGATTAGGCAAACAGATTGATGATGGACAATTCAATGCATGAACAATTGATTGAGTAGGTTTTCTTGTCATATTTGATGGTTCAACCACCCACCATTTTTGTCATTCAAACTGAGAATGGATGAGAAAACGTATTTTGAGAATCAAGCATAAAAGAAAATATTTTTTTAAACATTTCCAAAAATTAAAAAAACATTTTTTAAGAAGTGAATAATTTTACAAATATTTGTTTAAATTTGTAATAAATCTTTGAAAAATAAACAAACCTGTAGTCATCACAGGGAGCAACCATTGATCTGACATAATTGTAACATTTTGTCTCTTTTTCATTAACTATAGGCATACAAAATGGATGTCGATGGCGAGGAGCCAATTTTGATTCAGTTCCCTCACAACACATCACAGGATCTCCAGTGTTAACTAAAGTGAAGAAAACAAAAAATCAAGTTTTATAGTAGAACATGAATCTAATAATAGTTTAATATCAACAATAATAATGATTTAAAATACTAACTCATACGGTATGAAACAGTGTGCGCCATATCATAAGTAACCAGACTGGCCCAAGAAACAACTGCCAGTGTAACCTGTTTCAATGAATTGTCTGAATGACGCAGAACAGCACTACTTACTTCAGCAGCATTAGAGATAAACCTTGAATCTTTTCCTCGAGGTTCCCAAATTCCTAAAAAAAAAAGAGGAAATACATGTGTAGATCAAGTTTATAGAATGTTCTTTACTAATAAACAAAAATTTTATAAAAAATATAATGTAATATATAAAAAATATACAAGAAAAAATTTAAGTCATTACCATCCTTGTAAATAGGGGGTAAAAGTCTGGAATAAGGAGTCAATGAAGAGCCCCAAGTGAAATGAGCTTGGTTATTGCAAGATCCATTGTAAGTTCTGTATGGATGAGTATCACACACATTAACAACCATGGGTGCTTTAAATAAGTCAGCTATATAATCTCCACAACGAGCTAATGCTTTTCCACTCCTGAAAAAAACTTTTTGATTTACAAAATTTTAATTTTATTCATAATAATGCCTGTATTCTCATTAATTTCTAGAAGTATTATTAATATAAAAATACTAAGGGTCAGTAGCTAGATCAGAAGTTAGGTTTACTTTAATACGATAACAACAAAACCAAGTGGTACTGGTGGGGGGAGGGGGGAAATTAGTCAGGCAAGTGGGCCTATAGTGTTCCTTTTTGCCAACCCCTGGCGGCTACCTTTGAGGTTACTGCCACATACTTGCCAGAGTGGGAATGTCTTGGGGGCGGGGTGGCCGAATAGGCTAAAGCGTGTGCACAGCACCGCTAGTTGCCTGGCAACCGGATAACAGAGATTTGAGATGATATAAAAAGTACGAGTTCGCGTCCCGGTGCCGGAGGGGGAAAAAAAAAAAAAAAAAAAAAAAAAGTGGGAATGTCACGATCCGTTTCTCGGGGCCGCCGAGTAATGAAAAGTAACTGATCCAGTGGGACTCAAACCCACAATGTTCAGAACTGGGCACTATGGGACCCACTGCCAGATAAATCAAGTTTTAGGATAAAATGAACCTAAGAGTAATTTATTCTATGCAATAAAAGATTTGCATAGTACCGCCCTGGTTAGGTTTAAGTCAGGTAAGGTTAAATTCTTATACAGTTTAAGTCAAGTCATAATCAAGAATTCTGTCATAAATTATCACAACCACAGTGATAGTAATTGAAATAAAAAACTTGTATAATTTATTTCCAACTTGCTATCAAAAAACCTTCTATAGATTATCAATTAGAAAGTTTCAATTCAAATCTTAATATTTAGGAAATTACAATTGTAGGAATCCATGTGAATACACTTTGTAGGATAGGAGAACCAAATTGCCCTCCTCTATATTGCAAAACTTTTATAGGGGGTTCATACAATGAGAGGTCTTATTAATGGCCCTGTCATTGCTTACCCCAAATGTTTGTTCGAACTTGATAAATTCTTAAAAAAAAATTTTTTGAACACTTTTCCAAAAGAACCCATTTAAGATGTTGAACCCTGCTACCTCACATTTTGTTGATTTTTTTTTTTTTTTAGTTATTCGCAGTAATGAGATCTTCAGTTTATATATATTTTTAACACTGTGAAATACCAAATCCTAGGATATTTTTATTGTTTTGACATTTCATCCAACAAAATGCTATGATTTTGGAACAAATAAACTAACTAATGAATTAGGATCTAAAAATAAATAAATAAAACAAAATGAATTAGTTCAGAGGAATTCAATGGAGAGAGATATAGAAAGCCTGCCCATACAATAGGGCGTTAGGTGCTCAAACTAGACAATTCATGTACAAGAACTCTTAACAAATAAGGTTACTCTATTTATTAAAGGGACCAATGTAAGACACATTTAATAGCATTTAGTTATAAATTAAAATCCTAATAAAATTTTTACAAAGTAAATAGATAAAGTTTAATATAAATAAAAATAAAATACCTCAAACAATATTGGTAAGATAAGTAGTACGAAGCCTTTGAAAGTATAAATCCCTGCTTGGCAATCTGCAAAGCTTCATCACCAGCCCAACTAGTGAGAATAGCTGTATGACTAGGTGATCCTTGAGCTGTTAGCAAATGACGCTCATGAAGAACGTCTTCATAAAAGGCAAGACGTTTAACAGATTCTTCTGCATTTACCAAAGCATTCTTAACTTCTTTATCTGTTATATTAACGGCATCTCTCTTAAACCTTTCAAGCTCCAGTCTCCCTATAATACATTTATATTAAATTAATATATTACATGAAATAAACAATACTAACCAGTTTTCTCATTTTTTAATAGGAGTTGAATTTGATTTATCTATTTATATTGAAATCAACTTAAAGTCACAATAATAACTGACAAAAGAACCTTGTGTTTATTTAAGGTCTTGACCATATAGTTCAACAAATTTTTTACAGCATAAGTTGATATCTGTGTGTTCAACCATAGTAAAACAGAATGGAGTTACATTTTTTTTTCACAGTTAACCGGTGTTAACAGATCATAGCGTAACTTATCAAGTTGATTTCAATTTAGATTTTGAAACAGAAATAAGCAACTGGAAGAGGAGATAAGTGTCTAATGTCACTGTTGTTTTTAAAAATTAAAAAAAAGGGTGAATATATGTAATTATTAAAAAATATAGAATAAGGATAACAACTGTGGTTAAAAATAACAATTTTAATGTTAAAAAGCTTAATAAAAACACACAAACTTGAATTTAAAAAAAAAAAAAACACCAAGCCATTAAAATGAACAGTTAGTCGTCATTTATCAATTCCGTCACTAAACAAAGGTCATCATATCGAATATCAATTTAATCAGTAATGATGAACAAACAACATCTCAGTAACTATTTTAATGCTAATAATGTTTTCCAGAATGTCGGTTTTTTTATATTTACTTTTAAAGAGAAAAAATAGATGATTCTCATTTATTATTTATTCATTTATTGTTACATTCCGCATCTACCCGTTTGTGTCATTAGCGGCCATGATTCTTATTTAAACACGATAATTCTCCAAAATATCATTTAAGAATTTAAACTTAACAGATCATAAAATCTCTTATTTCATGAAATGATTTTAATTGTAATACGACAAATAATAATCATTAACTTTTGTTTGGTGAAAAAACAAAAAAAATAGTAATGATACAAAAATATTATACCAGTTTCTTACTCATTAGAGTTTTAATTCAAATGCATGCAGATTTATAATAAGAAAAAAAAAGAGTTCATTTCAAAATTATGATTTATAGGATTCAAAACATAATAATACAATTAAAGACATTTATGAGAAATTTACAGACAATAATTAAATAAAGCAATAGTTCAAAAACAAAAGAGGTATGATCTTAGAAAAAATATTTTCAAATATATTTTAAACATCTACACTGACTACTGAAAGACAAAACAGATTCAAGGAGTTATTAGAGAATCTTATTTTTTAAATTTAGCTCGAAATGTACAGTGACTTGAGCGAACTAATGCTTTATATAAATTCAAAAATAAGTGGAAGATTAACTTACCAACACCTCCCAAAATATAATTGTACAAAGGAGAAGCATCCTTTCCTAAAGAGAGTACTAAGGTAGGAGCAATAGTTAGAATGAAAAGGCTAAACAGTAGTAGAGTGTTGTTTTTCAACACCATCTTGACTGCATCTGAAAGTTAAAACATATAATTCAAACAAAACTTGCATGATATTAATTTAAAATGTGCCCTAAATGTATGCTAGTTCCCCTAAAATTATCTAATGTGATAATCATTATATACTAAACACACGATAATTCTAAATTGACAGTTTAAAGACATAAATAATACAGAAAAATCATAAATAAAAATTAAATATTTCAAATAATTTTAAAATTTTAATTGAAACTATCAACAGAAGTGTGACAGCATACATTTGAAGAAACTAAAAATAAATTATTGGGAACAATTTAAAAAAATGTCTAAATATAATAAAAAAAGGCTTTATATACTTATAAATAATGATGGATTATGAAAACAATCTGTCAAATACAGTATAAATAATGAAAATGAAGAAAACAATCTGTCAAATACAGTATAAATAATGAAAATGAAGAAAACAAATAAGTACATTCCTTAAATTGAAAAAAGGTTATTGATATGTGAAGTTTTTAGATTCAAAATTTATAATAAGGGCAAAATAAAAAATAGATTGCGAACCAGTAACTAAAACTAATAAGATATCGTTTATAATTTCGTTAAAAATGATATCATAAAAAGAAAGTGATAACTGTTTTCTAGACAAGTATGCCTTATTTATAATTTTTTAGTTCGGCATTGAGTTCAGAAAACTATGGAATTTAATTAAAATAAGGAATCCTTAGCTGTTAGTCAATAATGATGCATGCTTAAGCGCTTGCGAGAAGCCTAGAATATTCCCTACAGCCAGCATTCTTTAACAGCTTCGTAAGAAGCACCTTCGTCTACGAATACTAATACGAAATTATAAAGAAAATCAAACGTTATTTATTAAATGCTAAGCAGAAGGAAATGAAGTTGACGTTAATAAGTCTAAATGTGCAACTTGCACAATTAAAAACCTAAAATGAAATCTGTGATGGAAATGAGTTTACAACGAAAGGGAAAGTATTAGTTTTAGAAAGAAACAGTTATTTTCTTAGGAGTTGAGTATATACAAAATAAATAAAACAGGCAATATTTATTGATAGACAACCTGTTTTTAATTTGAGATGCAATAACAGATATTTACGAGTGAATATCCGCAGAGAAGGCGTCATGCGGCAGACGGACGACAACACATCGGAACGAGGTTACAGCTCAACTGGTCTTGTTTTGAAGCCGCCTTCATTCTATACAAGTTGCTTTCTCGGTGGTCAGGTGGTGGGGGGGCTTTCCTGATAATAGCATGATAACGTTTGCCAGCTATCCCAAAGCTATGCCGTCAATTATTTCAGCGTGATCGCCTCCTGCTAATTTGTTTTTCTCTGTACTCATTCAAAGGTCAAATGGGATTCGTTTCAGTAGCGGATTCAGGATTCAATATTTGGAGGGGGGAGGAGGCTAAACTTCTATTTGATTTTATTCATTTTTTTTTTTTATGGCGGTAATTGAAGCTGCAATAATGCTTCTAGGTTTAAAATGTGTATATTTTTACTTAGAAGGTGTTTACACCGTTTATTTGGTACCTGAAGTACATTTGTAATAATTTAAAAAGGGGACATAAACACATACTATGATTTATTGTATTCGGCTCATTGTCAGATCATTCATAGAAAGAAATCCGGATCAATGAAAAAAAATTATTTTTCTTTTATTTAAAGGGAGGGACTTCAGTTCGAAATCCTCCCACCCCTCCTTGAATCTTCCAGTGCTTCGTGGGAAGTATTGTCACAAGCTTTTAAAATAGTAATACCTAAAGATAAATTAGAATATATATTCTTATGGGTCTTTATGTATTTAATAATTTTGCCGGTCCTCGAAAATTACCCTCTCTCTCCAGGCAAGTTTTTAGTCGAATTGTGAACTAATTGTACGTGTTTTACATTTTAGTTTACTCACGTATTAAACTTACTCCTAAAATATATACTAAGTTTTTTTTATGACTTGAACTTCCATTTAAGCTTATAATTCGATGATTCACGCCTAGTGGCATAAATAATCGTAGTTCGGAAGAGCCTCTCTGAATTGCGGTTCTTTGTGGCCATATATTTTGGTTACTCCTCGGACAGAGTACTTCATGCATTTCGACTATAGAACCTCAATAATAATTTTACCTGAACATTAGAATATATATGAGATGAGGTGTTTAAACAAACACGCCGATTTCATTTGACTATGATTCATTATCACAACATGACCATTTCTTTGTTATGTTAATTAACTGCTGACTATTCAAGCCCTCGTCATTTCTTTAAAAAAAATCCTTCCGTCAGACTTGAGTGTTGAAGCCGGCCATTGCCAGGACACTAAAAGCATATTTACAAAAGGTCTCAGGGCCACTGCCTCTTTAACCTTCTAGGAGGATCATAGAGGTGGTCAAAGTTGGATAGGGATTGAGCAAGAGAAATTTGAACGATGAATAAGATTTTGGTGAAAGTTTCTAAAACTGGATAGGATAATGTCAAGGACGTATGTGTTGTTAAGGTCATGGTGTAAAATCTTGTTTGTGACATAATAAGGATCATTGAAAATTGTTTTGAGTACTTTGGACTGGGACGATACCTTTGATGTTCGAAAATTTAGCTATTCCCCACAGTTCAAGTCCATAGGTCCAGAGATAGGTCTTAGTACGGTCTTGTAGATTAATTATTTGTTATCAATTGCAAGATGAGATGCTGTGTTTAGTAATCGGTATAACTGGCTGAATCGTCGGTTTAGTTATTGTCTTTTAAGACTGGTTTGTGGGTTCTAAGTCAGTCTTTTGTCTAAAGTGAAGCCGAGAAACGGGACAGTGTCTGAGATAAGGATAAAATTGGTTAATTTTTCTGTAATGGAAGAGGCGCATAGAAAAAAAAAATGCTTGCATCGAAGCCCAGTCCTCCTTAGTCTTAGCCACTAGTGGATGCAGGATTCAATTTGGGGGGGGGGGGAGGTTCAGCCCGAAAGGTTTTTTTTTCATAAAAATGGCGATAATTCCTTTGGAAAAAAAGAAAGAAACTAGCTATCTATATGAAATGGTGTTTAAGTGATTCCTTAAGTCCTTTTAAATGTAATTACACCAATAAATTATTTATTTCTTGTCACTTTAAGAGATAATTTTTTTAATATATTTTCCCATAAAACATAGTTATATTTTACCATTTTGGGAGGGGCTCCAGCCCGAAAGCCTCCCCCCTCCCGTAGATCCGCCCGTGGTCTTAGCTCTTACTGTCAATATCTCGAGTCCATTCCTGCTCGAGCCTTAGGAATCTTAGAGCATTTAGCCTCGTTTTACAAATGTATTCCATACATTGCTTATAATTAAAAGAAAAAAAAATTAAAATTTGAAATCTTAATATTTTATCAATAATAGTGCTGAATCTTCAAACATAACCATTTAATAATAAAACTATAATAAAATCACAGTAAGTTTACATATTGAACTAATTTCCCGGGTTTTACGAGCACCTATTTTATTTAGAATGGAGATTAGGTATAGCGTTCTCCTTCTTCTGAACCGAACGCGTTAGCCGGCTATTATATTTTCGTAATGCTGATATATCCGATTTAACAGGATATTGGTTATTATGTTCTAAGTAACAGTATTATGCCTTTATAATTACTGCAGCCATAGATGGAGCCAATGCAAATTTCTGGTATCCTTTCCTCCTTTGATATTTTCTGGATTAGTTAAAGTAGCTTTGCCCTTGGGCCTTCTTTCCTAACTTTAAAAAGTCCTGATGGCAGGATTCCATCCCAAGGATCTTTCTTGTCTCAGACCTTTTGAAATCATCAGGGGTAATAGGAGAAATAGTATAGATGGCACTTGGTCCCGGGCGGCAGAATTTAGAGTTCGGCAAACCTTAAAAGAAATTTTTTAGCTTTAGTGAAAAATATTTGTTTCTTTCTGTTCGTTTTGCCGGTTTTTCAATGCAGTGGATAAAATGAGACGTGATGACAATATTCATTTCGTAATAATATTTACAACATTGTTACAACCCGATGATTTTAATTGGGGAGAGGAGTCAGCAAAATTCAGCTCACCTGATTTCAATATTAATAATATATGATTTTTCAACCTTTGTGTTGCTCATGTCATTACCGTTCATTGGTTCCAATTGTTTGAGAAGCTGTTGGAAATATTTCGAGATGTTTTATGCCTTTTTGCTTTTTGATGCCGTCAAAATTACATTTTTTCCTCGCATTACTTTTATGTATCCTTTATTAAATAAAGCAAAATTATCTCTGTCGTTTATACTGCTGCTCATTTTTTATTATTTTACCCCAAAAAAAGCTATCTGCCGTAACAAATACCATCTCACGACGGTTTTCCGATGACAATTATTATATAAACACGTTGACATCGTACAACAATGATTCGTTTGTAGTGATAGTTTCATTTTTATAGTTTCCAATTTGGTTTTAATAATAACGATTTATTGGATGGAGACCCACGCTAGCAGAAACATAATTTCTGAGACAAAAAGACTGAAAGAACATAGAGTAGAAAATAAAATTTTACTTACCATTACTGATAATTTTGGTAGCATAGAAATAACAATTATAGAAGGTCTTTAAGGGCGCCATTTTGGCTGTTTAGCATATACTGTTAATTTGATAGTTTTTAAGTTTGTTAGATTACTTTGATATTAACTTTGTTAGATAAAGTGAAAGAGACAGTTCCCCACTTCAAAAAGTTCCATTGCCAAAACCAAACTAGAAATCTACCAAAACAAAGCAGCTATGAACCTAACCAAATCATACAAGCCGTTACCAAAAAGTGTAATTTGGAATTCTGCAAGTTAGAATGATTGATCTAACTAAAAGGAAGAAATTAAATTTAAGTGGCAAGCTTCGTTGGCGACATTAATAAACAGGATTGGCTCATTATCATGAGGGAGGATCTTAATAGATGTGATGGAAATTCTAGCTGCGTTAGAAGCAGTTAATATAAAGTATATAGCTAACAAAAAATATGAATGGTGAAACGGATGTAACAGCTTCTTCGGTAAACGCTATTAAAAACGGGTTAAAAGGATAACAAAGTCTCTCTGGAGGCACGGGATACTTAATCAAACCCAAAGAGACCATAAATAACGGAATTCGGGAAAGATTAGGATCTATGGGAACTAACAAAAAGTTACTAATTTCAACCGAATCTTTTTTTTTTTTTTTTTTTTTTTTTTTGTCCTTCCCTTCCTCGCCGTTAAGGCTATACGGGATTTTCCCGTGCCAGGGGGTGTGGGCGGGGATTTAAAAGACTCCCCCGGCACCGGGACGCGAACTCGTGACTATTTTTATATCTTTAATTCATATGTCAGGTTGCCAGGCAACGAATTAAGAAATATTCAGCTCGTTTATTCGGATTTCAAAGGAAAGTTCGAATTTTTCAAAATAAAAAAATATGAAAACTGCTCTAAAGAACATAAATATAAGCCACCATGAACTGATTCAAAGATCTACAATCACTAAGTTGACTTTTCACCGTGATCTATTTCCAGGAACGACCAGTCCGATTTAAAAAACCCCTTTTGCTATAGATAGAACGTTTATTGAGGAAGGCTTCAAGCTTTATAACATCACCGCAAGGCCCATAATAGTGGAACAGTTACCATAAATGTTAGTCAATCTGGGAAACTCCAGGTAATTGTGCAAGCACTGTGTTCCGTTATGGAGTATTATTTGACGTCACTATGAATGGGCTGACTTTTAAGCATATTGGAGTTAACCATAAGAGAAGAAAACTTTTTTTCATGAATCAGGTATTTTACCTGATTTAGAACAGAGGTCTCCATACTGCGGACCACGGGCCTGATCCGGCCAGCGAAAGATTCTTTGATAATATGAAATTTATCAAATCACACACGAGGTTACTACAACAGTTATGGCATGTTTTGTTTTTTTCTCTTAGAAAGCTCATTTCTCAACTGAAGTGTTATTTATTAAATTTAGAACAAATTTTTTTTTCATAACAAGCCATGACCCGCGGGAGATGTGTCAATGCGGGACTTAGTGGAAGCCTCAATTTGGCACAAGGGCCAAAAAGTTTGGTTTAAAAGCCTGATTTATATTTAGTTGCAGGAAAAAAAAACAGTTTATATTTATACCACTTATGAGAGAAAAAATGAATGTTACGCTGTATCATTTAAGTTTTAAACTTAAATATAAAGTTTAAGCTGAAGAAGCTTTCTATGGAATAATCAATCTTTAACGTAAATAATTGAACAGATA